CCCCTCCGACATCCGATTTACCCTGTCGCACACCTGGGCCTAAAAATCTTTTCGGCAGGTCCCTGTCGGTAGTGGGCGCAACTTTCCAAGACGCCCTCCCTCAACCGGCGGTCCCATTCCATCGAGCTTTGTGCCATTTGCCCTCGTTAGGCGCACCCATCTTCCTGTGCTGCCCCTGCAGCAGTGAGGCCATGGAAATTTGAATCGCATCGCAAGGTGAGTGTCGGCCGCCCTCTTCGTTTTCGCTCGTACCTGTTCCTCCGCTCTTTGTTCATGTCATTCTCTTCCCTGCGAGTTTGGTCGTGTGTGTGTGTGTGTGTGTGTGTGTGTGTGTGTGTGTGAGTGTATGTGTGTGACACATACACACAGAGAGAGAGAGAGAGAGAGAGAGAGAGAGAGAGAGAGAGAGAGAGAGAGAGAGAGAGAGGGTAGACGCCGCTTGAATGAATGATTTCAACAGGTGTGTGTGTGTGTGTGTGTGGGTGTGTGTGTGTGTGTGCCAATGGTGCGCAACGCGCACGTAGAGACTCATAATTATCGAAATAGTGGAATGATCCCGATATAATGCAATCAAAGTTGACATGTTTATAGTCTTGTCATGCGGTGCTAAAAAGCAAGATATGGAGAGAAAAGTTAAGGAAATTGGTGCGCGCGCGAGAGAGAGAGAGAGAGGGCTTTTGTTGCATAGGTGGCCTGCGCATCGGAGTTAGCTCGACATGGTGTGAATGGTGCAGAGAATGGTTGTTAGCCGTTGTCTCCTTACTGTGCTTTGTTGAAATACCATTTATGCAGGTTCCGTTACCCGATGTTCATCATCTCATTGTCGCGTTCACAAGCCTGCAAAAAACCTATCTTCTTCACCCGAATAGAAAACGCCCGGTAATTGTCGTTGTATCTGGACTGGAGGTTGCCACAAATACAGTTATAATGACCGGGCAGTCTATTCGGGTGAAGACGGGTAGCTTGCGAAGCATCTTTGGCCTACCTCTACTTTTTTTGCTTTTCTGGAGTCGCAACGTGGATTACATGCTCGGTGACGGTGATCCTGATGGTCGGAGTAACAGGCTGTCGAATCGAACGAAGGGGATGAATTTCTCTTATATCAGTCAATCAATTCACCAAATAACCAACCACTCACCTTATCAATGATTGAATGAACCTATCAGTTGATAAATCAAATTCATCAACAGATTATATGACATCCTCAACATAGTCGTGTCGATGGGATGAGTGACTGACGTTGCAACTGCAAAACATACTGTAACAGACCTAACACTCTGCAAACTGTACGAGAGAGAGAGAGAGAGAGAGAGAGAGAGAGAGAGAGAGAGAGAGAGAGAGAGAGAGAGAGAGAGAGAGAGAGAGAGAGAAGGACTTATATCGGCCTTTGCGCAACTAAGGAAATTCAGGCAATTGCGCTGAGCCAGTTGGTTGAGAGAACCCCGGGCCCTCGACCGCCTTTGTGAATGAATGGANGGCCTTATTTCGGCCTTTGCGCAACTAAGGAAATTCAGGCAATTGCGCTGAGCCAGTTGGTTGAGAGAACCCCGGGCCCTCGACCGCCTTTGTGAATGAATGGAAAGTAGGCCCTGGGCTGGATACGGGTACCGGGCCAAACACATGCCAAAGGCAGTTGGGCGCATGCAACCACATCAGGCCCCCAGGCGTGTTCTCGATCGTGCTGGGCCTCAGGCTACCGGGGATTATTGGAAGCTTCTTGGGACTGGACGCCGGAAGGGCACTTCGATATAGCAAAGGGCCTGCCTCCTCATTCAGTATTCGGGTGCTGGCTGCATGCTGCGCAAGCACTGCTGCGCTATTTGCTGGCTTGCGCCTACGCGCTCACGGGCGAGCAAGGAAGGAGCAGGCAGCCATAGCCGAGCTGCGCTGCTGTAAGCTGGGTGTGGCGCATGGTGGTCCTTGGGTGCAAGTGGCATCTGTGTGTTGGGGAACGAGGTTGTGAGTAAGGCGACAGACATACCTGGCGCTGGAAGCGAGCGACATTGGTCGCTGTATGTTCGTACTTCGGGAGAGCTGTTGTCGTCAACTTCGGCATTGTAGTATAGGCTAGAAAGGATCTGCCACATGTATTTTGGGCGTCGAGCGCGAGATAGGATATCAACTCTGGTTCTTCGTTGATAATGATGATGGGACTATTTCAGCATTGTCAATTATTAACTCTTGGTGTGTTCTTATTTGGTAAATCCCGTGATGCAATTATGTTGCTGGTTCGAGGTCACGACTATCTGGACTCATATGTATGATGTTGTTTGATTGTTGAAGTTCGCTATTGCTCATCTTCCTTGCAATTTGGTATTTGAGTTGTGGTACGATTGCGCTCATCTGGCGCTTGTACTCTGCCTTATGCGGTACATACATGCGGTCTGCTTGGCGAGTTTGGCCGTAAGTGGTGTGTAGTGAGGAGGGCGGAGACGAGTGATAGGCGACCCAGGAGGTGAGGGGATCGCCAGGAAGGCTACATGGGGTGATGGGGTCTGGAAAGTGTGATGAGAACTATCTAATGTACAATTGGTGCTGAGGTGGAACGACGTGCAATGCTGGTTGTGTCGAAGCAATGACTGGTCATCACAATCGGCATCAGGTCATCTAGTGAGATTATCTCTGTGGTTGGGGGCAGCTATTTGAGGTATGTTCCTCTTAACCTTATCTACCCTCTTCGACACTTCTTACCGTGAGGTTGTGTGTTCCTTCTCGAGTGTCCTCTCATTGTGAGGTGTCGAGTGCGCTCAACCTTGAGAGTTGGTAATGTTCACGTGGAGCATCTTCGAGAAGATGGGCGGAGCTTTCTGAAGGGCCCTGGACGAAGCACTGGGTCATGGTCACCATGCCAACCCACCGTGAGTGGAGGACGCATGCTTTGCTGCTTGTCCTTTGTTCGGCTTGCTGCGCTGTTAGATGGGTGCTGAAGGGCAGGCCAACCCTAAGTGGGAGACGAGAACCGCGTCTTTAAATAAACACCGGTGAGGTTGTGTGTTCCTTCTCGAGTGTCCTCTCATTGTGAGGTGTTGAGTGCGCTCAACCTTGAGAGTCGGCAATGTTCACGTGGAGCATCTGCGAGAAGATGGGCGGAGCTTTCTGAAGGGCCCTGGACGAAGCACTGGGTCACGGTCACCATGCCAACCCACCGGGAGTAGAGGACGCATGCTTTGCTGCTTGTCCTTTGTTCGGCTTGCTGCGCTGTTAGATGGGTGCTGAAGGGCAGGCCAGCCCTAAGTTGGAGACGAGAACCGGGCGTCTTTAAATAAACACCGGTAGGGGAAACCATTGGATGTGATCGTCGTCCGGCTGCGACGTATAATAATTCCTGGAGTCACTTGGGGGCGGACGTTAAATTGCCTCTGGATCAGCCAACGGTTGTAAGGCTCACTGCACGTGAGGATAATCCAGTGCACGGCTGGCCAGATCAGCAGATACTCGGGGCACAGGGGTGGGCCGGACACACACCTTTTAGACACGGTACGCTCTCCAGATTGCTTAGGGGCGCTGACGTCAAGTGACATTCACGGGAACTAAGGGAGGGGTAGATTTTAGGTGATAAGTTCGAGAAAAATTCCATATGTCCTATCCACACAAATGATTTATTTTTATGTTTTGATTAGTTAGGTGTACAGCCATTGACATCTGACAGACAACATTAGTTAGAACTGTTTCTTGTTCATGGTGTTTCTGTTTGCGGAGTAGTCAAACTAAAAATAGTTTTATTTGTAGGAATCTGACTTACCTGTTGACCCCAAGTGTATCTACTCCGAAATAGCCACCAGTTAATTGGTCTGTACACTACGCTATGGTAGGCATCCTGTGTGCATTAGTGCAGATTGTGTACAGTGCTGTAGCTTATGAGCGACGAGGAGGATCTTGCGATCGACTAGACCCCCAATTGCCCACTTGGCATTAGGACCAGAGGGCGACAGATATCTGTTCCGCCAGCTTAGGGAGAGGCAGCAGCAACAAAGGAGAGCTAGAGCAGCAGAGGCTAGCAGGGCACTTGTGAGTGAGGCCGCAGCTTCAGAAGCCATGGCCACTTCTGCGCGGCAGACTACCCAGGCCGGTAGTTCAGGGTCTGTAGGGTCAATGGTAGCGCAGACCCAGAGTCAGTCCGCTGGCATTATGGCAAGCCAGCCATTAGTGTTGACCTCCGACGAGATCGCCATACAACAAGCAACATTGTAGGAGGCACAGCTACAGAAGGCATTAGGAGAGATAAAAGCGGAGAAGGAAAGGATGATTAGAAGAAGAGCCAGGATGCAGCGGAGACAAGCGGACATTAGTGAGGTAGAGGAGATGGACTTTACGCACGTGACTGATGACGTGAGGATCGTACGGTCCATCCTGCTAAATGTGGTTGAGATGCAGGACCATCAGACAACCATTCTTCAGGACATCCAGCAAAGTCTGGCCTTGTTGGTTGGGCGAGCGCAGGCAACGTCGCCAATGTCCGGGCCTGGTGCCTAGCCCGTTGTACAGCCTCCTCCTTTTGTCCCACTGGTGACTGGGGTATCCCCATATGCAGCCCCATCATCGGTCGTGATCGTTTCCCTGGGCATGCCGCTATTAGGAGGGGTATCAGCAGGAACTAGCTTGCAGGTTCCTGTACAGACAGTCTTCACCCAATCTCCGTTGCAGGTCGCGGTTACCACGCAGCCTGCTGTCTCGCAGTCTGTACGGCCGCAGGGTACACAGGCCCAGCAGCTAGCACAGCAACCTGTGTCATAGGGTCCACAGCCCGGAGTGATGCAGGGACCGAGACAAACATAGTGGGTTCCAAAGACGGCCATCGCCGCTCCCAAACGTTTTACAGGGGATAAGAGGGGCGAAGACCTCGACACGTGGTTGAGGGCAGTGCCAGTCTATGTCAAATGTAAGCTTACCTTGCCGCACAAGGAAGTGTTAGTGGCCGCATCCTATCTAGAGGGTAGTGCAGCACGATGGTTGAGCGGTTTAGTGCAACTTCAGGGATATGGTCATGACTTCCGCTCTTGGGCAGCCCACCAGAAACTGGAGGACTTCCTCAAGATGGTGGAGGAAAGGTGGCACGATCCTCAGGAGGTTCAAAAGGCCATCGGCGTGATCTTGACACTGCACACGAGGCAGTTTAAGTCAATTAGGGAGGCCATCGACGTTGTAGAGCGTCTGATCTGTGTCCCTGGGGTGCGCTATGACACCCAGGTTTTACTCACCTCCTACCTGAGATGCTTTCCAATGCCTCTCAGGAATGTGTTGGCAAGTGAAGCCAACATCAACGTTCACAATTTCCCCTCGTTCAACAAGAAGGCCCTAGACCTTGAGGCGAAGATAGGGCATGGGCAGGCACCCACAACGGATGGTAGGAAGAAAACACTGCCTACCAACTGGAAGGCGAAGGGACGCATTATGTTTTTCAACAACGATGGTTCAACCATTGAGTTGGAAGACAACTTCCAGGAAGGAGTAGGTTCAGAAGCAGGCAGCGTTGAAGCTTCAGGGGGTGGAGTTGTCACTGCTGTAGCTCAGAAAGGTAAGGCGACCGGTAGACGCCGAGGAGGCTCCCGGTCAAGGAGTCAAGTTGACCCCAACGCTCCCCCATGGGAGAAAGCGGGTCTCACGGAGGACGTGTGGAGAGATCGGTACACACGGCAGGCTTGCATTCGTTGTGGCCAATACGGCCATAATCAGTTCAAGTGCCGAAACAAGAAGGTGACCGACAAGATCCCGCCTACGATGGGGCAGGCGGTAGGATCCTCCCATCCCGTTGGTAGCAATGCGGCTAGCATTTCAGGCACTGCTTCAAGAAATACGTCGGACCAGTAGGAATACTAGTTCCTACTAGGGTCGAGGTGGTGGAGACACCCTCACCATCTCGAGAGATGGCCCAAGCTACTGACTCCAACGTCGTCCCGCAAACACATTCAGACCCATCGAGCCTCTGTTCGATGAATGTGTTCGAGTCCTTAGAGGAGTTAGAGGAGTGGTCTAGATCGGACCCGATAGCTTCTTGGACGGCCCTAGTCAAAGCCCTGAAGGGTGTGTTGTTCGTCAGCAAGTCATCGACGGCCGTGAGGCCAGGGCCTATTATGACACTTGTTCGACAAGGAACTTCATTAGTCGCACGTGCGTTGAGAGGCCGCGTTTACAGGGGCGAGTGCAGCACTTGAGTCGACCTGTGGAGTCGACCTGTGCCAACATACAGCGCATGGTAGTCAATGACTACCTCCAGGATGTTGAGTGTTGTTTCCCGTACGCGGCAGGGGAATTGCGACATCGAGTCTCATTCCTAGTGAGCGATGAACTCCCCATGGAAATGTTGTTAGGTGTGTACCACCTCTCTGTGGCACAACCCCAGTTTGACTGGGACCGAAAAGTGGTCAAACACACTTGGCCAGGTGGAGGGACCGCCAAATTGCGTAAGTTCAAAGCTAGTACTCTGATTGAGTCCCACGGATGCATGTGTGCGGCCGCGTTTTATAATTATTATAAGCAAAATCAGGAGGAGAGTACGTATCTAGTTTAGGTCTCTGCTGCAGGCGAGCCGGTGAAAATGCCGTTGGAGATAGAGGGAGTAGTTGCCAAGTACCCTAATCTATTTCAAGAGCCAACAGGGGTTGTAGAGAGGGAGGTCGTCCACGCGATAGAGATTATCCCCGGGTCTAGCATCCCGAAGGATAGGATATATCGGATGTCTCCAGGCGAGCTCGATGAGCTACACCGACAACTCAAGGAACTCGTAGAGAAGGGTTGGATCCGGCCGAGTGTCTCTCCAGTTCTATTCGTACCTAAGAAGGAGGAGGGAACACTGAGGATGTGCATTGACTATAGGGGCCTCAATGCCATCACTGTTAAGAATAGAGAGCCCCTACCGCGCATCGACGATTTGTTAGATAGAGTGCAAGGGTGTCAGTACTTTAGTAAGATAGATCTGAAGTCCGTGTACCATCAGATTGCAATCCGGCCTGAGGATCAACACAAACCCGCCTTTCAGACCAGGTACAGTCTGTACGAGTTTGTGGTGATGCCTTTCGGCCTTTGTAATGCTCCTGGCACTTTTCAGCACGCTATGAATCGGATATCCCATGACTACTTGGATAAGTTTGTCATCGTGTACCTTTATGACATACTTATTTTTAGTAAGACTGTCGAGGAGCACATTGCGCACTTGGACAAAGTCCTCAGTCTCCTGCGACAGCACAAGTTCAAGATCAACGGTGAGAAGTGCGAGTTTGGCCGCACCCGTGTCTTGTACTTGGGTCATGAGATCTCCACGGAAGGATTGAAGCCCGATGACGCGAAGGTGGCCAGCATTCGTGATTGGCCACGTCCTCAGTCTGTGACTGAGATGAGATCTTTCTTAGGAATGACAGGCTACTATAGGACTTTCGTTAAGAACTATAGCATAGTGGTCGCTCCTTTGACTGATCAAACCCGCCTTGACACCCCATGGGAGTGGACAGATGAGTGCGAGGCTGCTTTCAGACATCTGAAGCATGCGTTGACGCACTACGAGGTCTTGAAACGTCCTGATCCTGATAAGCCGTTTATAGTCACCACGGATGCCAGCCAATATGGCATTGGCGCCGTGCTCGCACAGCAGGAGGGGCCAAAGTTGAGGCCCGTAGAGTACATGTCCAAGAAAATGTTGTCTCAGAAGTTGGCCAAGTCCACCTATGAGAAAGAACTTTATGCAGTTTACAAGGCTCTGACCCATTGGAGACACTATCTCGTTGGGAGGTTCTTCATCCTCAGGACTGATCATCAGACCCTGAAATGGATGAGAACTCAGTCGGTGCTCTCTGACGCTCTGAAGCGTTGGACTGAAGTCATTGAGCAGTATGACTTTGACCCTAATTATTTGAAAGGGGAGTACAACAAGGTTGTTGATGCCTTGTCGCGTAGACCTGACTTCTCGGGTGCGCCGATTACTGAGTTCGAACTGACAGACAATGTTACTCAGTCTTTGGTGGAAGCCTATCGCGAGGACCAGTTCATGTCTGAGATCATATGCAGACTTGAGGCGAAGGATAAGAAAACTTTTGCTGAGTTTGAGTTGGTTAATGGCTTGTTGTTCCTTGAGAAGGAAGAGAATAAACGATTGTGTGTCCCGAATAGCGAGTCTTTGCGTACTTTGTTTTTAGGCGAGTGCCATGATGCCACCGACCATTTTGGGTACAAGAAAAATGCAGCCAATCTACTGCAGCGGTTCTGGTGGCCCACATTGATGAGAGATGCTAAGTTGTACGTGGAGACTTGTCAGGTTTGTCAGAGAGATAAGCCGCGTACTCAAGCTCCTCTTGGGCTGCTGAAGCCCCTTCCGATTCCGGAAAGGCGTGGTGAGAGCCTGTCCATGGACTTCATGGATACGCTGGTCAACAGCAAGAGTGGAATGCGCTACATCTACGTCATTGTGGATAGGTTTAGTAAGTTTGCTAGATTAGTTGCAATGCCGGCAACAACTAAAACGGAGTATGTGATTACGATGTTCAAAGAGAATTGGGTTAGAGACTTTGGATTACCTAAGTCCATAGTTAGTGACAGGGATGTCATATTCACAAGTGAGTTGTGAAAAGCAGCAGCTGCAGAGCAAGGTACGCAACGGCAGATGACATCGGGCAATCATCCTGAGGCAAACGGGCAGGCTGAACAAATGAATCGCGCTGTACGACACCTGCTAAGGCATTACATCAAGCCAAATCAGGTAGATTGGGATGAGAAACTTGCTCTCATCGCAAGTTTGTACAATAACGCCGTACACAGCGCAACCGGAGTCAGTCCTAATAGCCTGCTACTGACCTTCAGACCTCGACTGCCTTTAAACTTTCTACTACCTGACAATCAGCCAACCGTTGCACCGGGGACTTTAGAGTTTGCTTATCGATATGAGTAGCTGATTCAGCAGGCTGTTGAACAGATGCACAAGGCACAGGCGGCGATGATAGAGTCTGAGAACAAACACCGCCGCCCCTCTACGTTTCAGGCAGGAGAGAGAGTCTGGGTCAAGTCCTCAGAACTGGGACAGGAGCACAGGATCTCCCGCAAGCTCATGCCATAGTATTTTGGACCGTGGGAAGTATTGGATGTCGTGGGGAATGAACTGGATGGCCCATCTTATGTTATTCGCATCCCTGGTCACTTACGCACTTACCCTTTTTTCCACGCCTCTAAAGCTTGCACCTTTCAAGGAAACAGATCAGTTTCCATCTCGTCATTCAATGCTTCTCCCAACCATGGATGGAGAGGTCGGCATCTACGATATTGTTGATCATCAGGAACTGCCAGTTCCACAAACAACAGACAGGGGACATCCTCCGAAACCGAAGCTGCAGTATCGCGTTCGGTTCCGGCATCATACTGATCCGAAGGAGGACCGCTGGTTTACCAAGGAGGAACTCATGCAGACCGCCCTGCAAGTTGTAGCCCACTACGAGAAATCTCTGCAGAAAGAAAAGCGCCCGAAGGTCGAAGACTGAGCTTCTCAGAGGACTGTTGAAGTTAAGGAGGAGGGAATGCGAGGCCACTGCCTCTATGAGCCCATTTGTCCCTTTTGGGAGCCTGTTGGCCACCCTAAGTGAAGGCAAGCTCGACGAGGCCCCTCAGGGCCTTATTTCGGCCTCTGCGCAACTAAGGAAATTCAGGCAGTTGCGCTGCGCCAGTTGGTTGAGAGAACCCCGGGCCCTGGGCCGCCTTTGTGAACGAATGGAAAGCAGGCCCTGGGCTGGATACGCATACTGGGCCAAAGACGTGCCAAAGGCAGTTGGGCGCATGCAACCACATCAGGCCCCCAGGCCTGTTCTCGATCGTGCTGGGCCTCAGGCTACCAGGGAGTACTGGAAGCTTCTTGGGACTGGACGCAGGCAGGCCACTTCGACATAGCAAAGGGCCTGCCTCCTCATTTGGTATTCGGGTGCTGGCTGCATGCTGCGCAAGCACTGCTGCGCTATTTGCTAGCTAGCGCCTACGAGCTCACGGGCGAGCAGGGAAGGAGCAGGCAGCCATAGCCGAGTTGCACTACTATAAGCTGGGTGTGGCGCAGGGTGGTCCTTGGGTGCAAGTGGCATCTGTGTGTTGGGGAACGAGGTTGTGAGTAAGGCGAGAGACATACCTGGTGCTGGAAGTGTGCGACATTGGTCGTTGCATGTTCGTACTTCGGGAGAGTTGTTGTCGTCAACTTCGACATTGTAGTATAGGCTAGATAGGATCCGCCACACGTAGTCTAGGCGCCAAGCGCCAGATAGGATATCAACTCTGGTTCTTCGTTGATGATGATGATGGGACTATTTCCGCATTGTCAATTATGAACTCTTGGTGTGTTCTTATTTGGTGAATCTCGTGATGCAATTCTGTTGTTACTTATGCGTGGTGTTAGAAATGTGACACTGCGTTCCAAGCCTTGAAAGAGGCATTGGTGAGTCATCCTGTGCTCCGCATTGTGGATCCCAACCTCACATTCGTGGTCACTACGGACGCGAGCTAGTTTGGGATTGGTGCAGTGCTGCAACAAGATGATGGTGATGGCCTGCGTCCGCTCGAGTATTACAACAAATGCATGCCCAGCCACAAGGTAGCTACCTCCACGTATATGCATGAGCTCTACGCCCTGCGCGAGGCGCTCACACATTGGAAGCACCACCTCTTGGGTCGTCACTTCAAGGTCTGCTCAGATCATCAGACCTTGCAGTGGATTAAGACACAAACTGATCTCTCTCCTACACTGACCCGCTGGTTGCATGACATTGATGTCTATAATTTTGAGTTGAAACACAAGAAAGGTTGTTATAACCGTGTTGCTGATGCTCTCTCACGCCGTCTTGAGTTTTTGACTTGCCTTGTGGGTTCGTATGACCTCCGAAGGAAACTGAAGGAGGATCTGGGCGAACACACCGCCAAGGATTCGGACCTTAGTCCCATCCTTAAGCAGCTCAAGGCTGACCCTAACAGTCAGCCTGATTTTCATGAGTGCGAGGGTCCTGTATACCGCCGGTATGGGAAATTTGATCGTTTGTGTATACCCAACCATGCGCCTCTCCAAACTCATTTCTTGGATTTGGCACATGGTCGGAGTGGACATTTCGGCTTTGAGAAGACTTATGGAAGTCTTCTACAGCAGTTTGATTGGCCGGGAATGAAGGGATCTGCTCAAAAGTTCATTGCTGAATGTCAAGTATGTCAAAGAACCAAGGTCCACAGGCATAAGCCTTATGGCCTGCTGAGACCCCTCCCCATTCCTGATGGTCCCGGTGAGTCGATTTCCATCGACTTCACGGACATGGGAAAGGTGAGTGAGGGAGGGAACTCACAAGTCATGGTCATCGTGGACCGTTTTTCCAAATTTATGAACTTGATTCCTTTCCCTCCCCATGCCCCAACTGAACTGGTCATCGAAGAATTTCATCAACAGTATATTCTGCAGTTTGGCCACCCGAAAACTATTGTGAGTGATCGGGTGTTGCATACGGTAACGTGCAGACCAAAACAAGAACCGACCTCTCAATACAAAGTGTAAGATAGCACAGCGGAAGACTTAGATACCAATGATCCGACAATCAATATTGCAATGCAGCTCTAAACATACATCATCATTATCGTTACACGATGTGAATGGGGTCTGGCGCTTCACACAGGAAGACTGCGCCAGCCCCTACCATACACAGACGAAGAAGAAGGGGGTTAGACGAAGAGGAGGGGAAGATGGGAATGTCGTCAACACCAAGTCTTTGCACAGGCCCAAATAGTTCCCTCGTCAAAATGTCTGAATCCCAAATGTCAAGTCTGGATCCAATGTCGTCAAGTCTCAAGTCACAACTTTGTCTCTCTCTGTCGTAGTCTGAGAAGTCAGGTGGCGAGAGGGTGAGAAGAGATGGTGGACTTAGAAGAGGAAGAAGAAGAACTCTCTCTCTCTTTCTGTGTCCAGTACTAACCTGTGAAGTTGGCGGCTTGATGCAGGTACCTCGAAGATGGAGCTGGAGCTATGGCGCCACAGGTAAGTACCGCTGGCCTCCGCCAGCCATATCTCCCAACTCCACGATCTACCACCTAATAGCGCCCAGCGCTGAAGACTACAGCTATGGCTATGGGCGGCAAGCGCCGAAGACTACTACTAGCGCTAATACTACTACCTAGCGCTGAAGACTACTGCAGCGCTCCTCCTGAGTGTTGCGGCCGAATCCTGAAGACTACTCGTGCCTACTGACAACTACCTGCCCGTGAAGTGCATAGGAACTACCTATGTACTAGCGGGTGTGACTCCTGACTCGTGCGAGCAATCCAGGAAGCTGCTCTTGCCAATGCCGAAGGGAGGCAGGGGCTGCAGCTGCAGCTCCTGCTCAAGCTCGTGAGGAACAGGCTATTTCTGCCCTGTTCCGAAACCCTGTATTCGTGCCTGAGTCTTAGGGGTGGTCGAAACAATGAGGGCCTAAAAAAGGCCCTCTGTTTCAGGCTGGAAAAATTCTAGGCCTAAAAGGCCCAGAAATAGGCTGAAACGGAGTAGGGCAGGCAGACCCTCGTATTTCAGCTTTCAGGCTGAACGACGGGGCCTGTAAGCCCTAAGTTTTAGGCTTTTAGGCTGAAAGTGCGGGACGGTGTCGGAAGACGATGCGGCGCAGCGACAAAAATTGACTCGTCGCAGTCAACCTCCGCGCTGCGTTAAAACTGCACGTAGGGACATCCACGGTCATAATCAAGCTGGACCCTAACGCATCGGTTAGATTTCCCCTGGGCCGAAATCAAGGGAAAGACGGCGCGGCGGTACGGTCCGTCGGAGACCTAATCGCCCCCGTTGGACTGGAATGGGCCAACTAGTAGGGTCCGGTCCAAAAGAAGTCATATAGATGAACAGCCAGGCCCGAGTAATTAAGATAGGGTCATGTGCTATTTTTAGCACGGGACTGACTGTTCGTCTCCCAAAGTTAGGCCTGCACCAGTCCCGTTCTAAAATTAGCACAGTCCCACGCTATTTTTAGCATGGGACTGACTAATCGTCCTCCGGGGACGGGGCCTGCGCCAGTCCCGTTCTAAAATTAGCACAGTCCCATGCTATTTTTAGCGCAGGACTGACTGTTCGTCTGCCGAGGACTGGGCCTGTGCCAGTCTCGTTCTAAAATTAGCCCAGCCCCACGCTATTTTTAGCGTGGGACTGACTGTTCATATCCCGAGGTCGGGACTGCTGCTATTTTTAGCACAGCCCCGGTCTAGAGTTTGACCACAGGCTAGAAGACATAGATCAGACAGATCGAGAGCACGCTCACGCCTGAAGGGGCCCGGCTGAACAGCAATAATCTCAAGTAGGCCCGCCTGAAGGGCCCGACTGAACAGCAACCGATCAGTAGAACATCTCATGCACAGGGACCATTCACAAATGTTGAATGTACTGGGGCTAGACTGAGCCAGGTCATCTGTGCAGGGACTGAACTGCCAATGCTCCCCGTGCGAGGGAAAATATCATGTGCATGAAGTGTTGCTGATCAGCAAAGAAACAAATCAACGGGAGTGTGATGGCAGATCTTCCCAGCCAGCAATCCTATGCTCGGGCATACATGGGCTCGCACTCAAACGTTAATATCCAGCCTGGGCGCACACATGTCCAGGGCAAGTGCACGTGGGCGCGCACTGAAATAACGATATCCAGCCTGGGCGCACACGGGCGCGCTCTCTAATAGCAATATCCTGCCTGGGCGCACACGGTTGCGCACTCTAATAGCAATATCCTGCCTGGGCGCACACGGGCGCGCACTCTAACTGCAATGCCAAGCTTGGGCGCGCGTGGGCGCGCACTCTAACTGCAATGCCAAGCTTGGGCGCGCATGGGCGCGCACTCTAACTGCAATGCCAAGCTTGGGCGCGCATGGGCATGCACTCTAACT